CTGGCCCGATTTCACCGCGATTTCCCGCGTCGCAGGCGAAAATTGGAGGCTTCGCTGGGACAGTACGTGGAGGTGCATTCTAAAATCCGTGAAATTACACATTGTGAGGGACAATGGAGGAAAAAAGCAATTATGGCCGTTAAGAGCAGATAAAATTAATCTCGGCATTTATTCTCGGGAACCATTAAGTGGCGGAGAGCGTTATCGGGGAATTTTAAAAGCTGAACAAGGGGCCGCGGCGGACGCGAATGCTGGCGTAAGGCGTAAGTGCGGGATAAGGAAGGAATCTGATTGTTGGCGGGCAGACGGTTTTGGATTTCCGCGGACGATAGACGCGGAATTTGTCTTATCGGCGGTTGTGTAAGACGCAGACGACGTTTTCCGCGATAGAGCGGAGAGGATTGAACGGCGATTCGTAGGTATTGCATAAGGTGCGATTAAATTACTCGGTTTGTTTATTAATTGAATTGGAAGTGGTCGACGACTACCGGAGCAGTGAACGGTATAGTACCGTTCGGTATTTTTTGAAATTTACTGCCAAATGGGGCAACTCAGTGAAGCAAATGCAAAACTACGACAAATCAAAATATCACTTGTTTGTAACAACCAAAATAAGCACTTATGAGGAGTCACTCACCTCACGAAATGAAGTTTTAATAATATCCTTAATATACAAGCCCATCGTTTTAATACCGTAAAAATTATAAGCAAAATTTGAAGATATTTATTTTTTCCATGCATTTTTTTATGCAAATTACTCCCCATTTCAATTGCTTCAGTAGAGAAGATAATGAATTTTAAAACTGAAGGGAAAACCTATCATCCCCATTAATCCCTGAATAATAATACCCTTCCAGCATGCTTATCTACTTCAAAATCTTTATTATCAATTCCGACCATTCTGCCTGAGTCAACGACAATGCTAGTTACGCTTTCAACTGAATTTATAGTGTGGTAATTATTTATTAATTTTACTTCGGGATACAAAGAAAAACTCGTATTCAAATCGATAAGGTAAACAAAATATACTTATGTGGACGCGGAATAAATAAAAAGCTAAAAAACTCCAAAACTTGCATTCTAAATTCATGAGATTTCTATTTATTAATTTTTTTGGTAAAATTGTTGGGTTAGTATTATTATGACCCAAAATTATAACCTACTGAGACACTAAATAGGTAAAGTTATAAATAATTATTAATTTTAAAAGCCAACTCAGATTTTAATTTTTTCTAAGTAAAAATATTTTCAAAGTGAACGAAAACCTATCCGAAAAAATTATTTCATATCTCAATTATTTCAAAAACTTTTTTATTTTGGTATCCGTGTATCGGTTTTAACTGTGCATACTTTGTGACTTAAATATACAAATATACAGGGTGTTCAATCACTAATGTGCAGCACTAAGATTCCTTTTTTAACTTCCAAATTGTGAAATTTTCGTAGTTTATTCTTTATTTATTCTAAATTTATGAAATTCCTAGTTATTAACTTTTTAGGTAAAATTGTTGGGTTAGTATTGATATGACCCAAAAATACAGCCTTGCGCGACAACAAATACATAAAATTATAAATAATCATTACTTTTAACAGCCAACTGGGATTTTAGTTTTTTCTAATTACGTTATATTTTTAAAATGAACGAAAACCTTTTGAAAAAGATTATTTCGTATCTCAATTACTTGAAGAAATTTTTTGTTTTGGTAACCGTGTATTATTTTATGACATAAATATACAAATATACACGGTGTTCAATCACTAATGTGTAGCACTAAGATTCCTTTTTTGACTTCCAAATTTTGAAATTTTCGTAGTTTATTCTTTATTTATTCTAAATTTATGAGATTTCTATTTATTAATTTTTTTGGTAAAATTGTTGGGTTAGTATTATTATGACCCAAAAATATAACCCACTGGGACACTAAATAAGTAAAGTTATAAATAATTATTAATTTTAAGAGCCAACTCAGATTTTAATTTTTTCTAAGTAAAAATATTTTCAAAGTGAACGAAAACCTAACCGAAAAAATTATTTCATATATCAATTATTTCAAAAACTTTTTTATTTTGGTATCCGCGTATCGTTTTTAACTGTGCATACTTTGTGACTTAAATATACATAAATATACAGGGTGTTCAATCACTAATGTGCAGTACTAAGATTCCTTTTTTAACTTCCAAATTTTGAAATTTTCGTAGTTTATTCTTTATTTATTCTAAATTTATGAAATTTCTAGTTATTCACATTTTTGGTAAAATTGTTGGGTTAGTATTGATATGACCCAAAAATACAGCCTTGCGCGACAACAAATAGATAAAATTATAAATAATCATTACTTTTAACAGCCAACTGGGATTTTAGTTTTTTCTAATTACGATATATTTTTAAAATGAACGAAAACCTTTTCAAAAAGATTATTTCGTATCCCATTTATTTCAAGAAATTTTTTGATTTGGTAACCGTGTATTATTTTTAACCGTGTTTATTTTATGACATAAATATACAAATACACAGGGTGTTCAATCACTAATGTGCAGCACTAAGATTCCTTTTTTAACTTCCAAATTTTGAAATTTTCGTAGTTAATCCTTTGTTTATTCTAAATTTATAAAATTTCTAGTTATTACTTTTTTTGGTAAAATTGTTGGGTTAGTATTATTATGACCCAAAAATATCACCTACTGAGGCACTAAATATGTAAAGTTATAAATAATTATTAATTTTAAAAGCCAACTCTGATTTTAATTTTTTCCAAGTAAAAATATTTTCAAAGTGAACGAAAACCTATCCGAAAAAATTATTTCAATTATCCATTACTTCAAAAATTATTTTATTTTGGTATCTGCGTATCGTTTTTAACTGTGCATACTTTGTGACTTAAATATACAAATATACAGGGTGTTCAATCACTAATGTGCAGCACTAAGATTCCTTTTTTAGCTTACAAATTTTGAAATTTTCGTAGTTTATTCTTTATTTATTCTAAATTTATGAAATTTCTAGTTATTCACTTTTTTGGTAAAATTGTAGGGTTAGTATTGATATGACCCAAAAATACAGCCTTGCGCGACAACAAATAGATAAAATTAGAAATAATCATTACTTTTAACAGGCAACTGGGATTTTAGTTTTTTCTAATTACGATATATTTTCAAAATGAACGAAAACCTACTCACAAAGATTATTTCATATCTCAATTAATTCAAAGACTTTTTTATTTTGGTAACCGTGTATCATTTTTAACTGTGTTTATTTTGTGACATACATGTGCAAATATACAGGGTGTTCAATCACTTATATGCAGCACCAAGATTCCTTTTTTAACTTATAATTTTTGCAATTTTCGTAGTTTATTTATGAGACACTTTTGTTATATATAAAACATTTTTTTTTTTTTACAAAAATTACTCCCTACTTCAATTGCGCTATTGAAGAAGATAATTAATTTTAAAACTGAGGGGAAAACCCATCACCACCATAAATCCCTGAACAATAATAATGCTCTTCAAACATAGTTTTCCTAATTCAAAGTTTTCATGATGGACTCCGACTATTCTGCCTGTGATCCAACGATATTAGTTGCGATTTCAACTCCATTGTTATTTATTTATTTTTAGTAAAATTGTTGGGTTAGTATTATTATGACCCAAAAATACAGCCTAGTGAGACACTAAATATGTAAAGTTACAAATAATTAGAACTTTTAATAGCCAAATGAGATCTTTAATTTTTTCATCATTCAAAAACCATTCATGAACTAAAAATAAATTCAGAAGATTTATTTGCTTTTGGAAAATGATATTGATATGATATTGATTTGATATATAACGTAAGAAAATATTTAAATAAAACTTGCTTGGATTTAGAGTTGGCTGTGACACACTATAGTTGGAAACAGCGAATTAAAAACATTTGTCATTTTGCTAATTGTACAAAAGGTATAAATAAATTAACACTTAAATGGTGACTTATCACTGACGCCAAGAATTTTAGATGTTTCAGATTTGTAAATATTTACTTGGTTTATTTTCAATAATACAGTACAACGAAACTTATCTTGACGTTTTCTAGCACAGCAAACGTCACAGAATTTAATAACTTGAGATTCTTGATAAACATCTAATTTTTCATAGCCAACTGGACCATGTTTTTTTGTAAACTTTTTTCGTGATTTAAGACGCATATATAAAATTCAACACACTTTGCGATGAAGGAACTTAATAATTTTTCATTGAATTTAAATGGCACGGCAATACCAACCAAATAAAATGCGTTAATCAACTCTGAACCAAAATATTTTTGATTTGTATTACATATTTTAAAAGTGAACTAGTTTCTCTTTTACTTTTTTTAAAAACATGCTTTCGACATTCAACATTTTTTAAATAAGTAGTAAAAAGTGGCTTCACTTTTTAGCGGCCTTATACACCATTACATTATTTTTGTACTATTAAGGAAATGATTAGATGTACATTTATTTTTTTTTAGTTGTCTTACATAATCATATTAAATAAATTTTAAATGTGAAGACCTCAAGGATAATTATCAAAACTCAGTTAAAAGTTACAGTTTCGACTAAACCCAATTTTGTTGCCAAGGTTAAGAATTAAGTACAGATAGATATTGATTATGGAAATTACGGAAAGCTGAAGATTCACAAAAAGTGAAAGTCGAATAGTGTGTAAAAACTAAGCTCAACCAAATTGCCTCCGAACACGCTGATGATTCTTGGCCGAAAAAATTTAAACGAAAGTAGTGTTTCAAGAACTTGAAAAAACCCTAGATTTTTTTTTTCACAATTTCGGCGCTCTACTAATAAAAAAATCCGGACTTTTTTTAATTTTTACACTCTGAAACCAAAATTAAATTTTGCCACGGTCCGGTTTTGCATCGCCTAGCACAAAATTGCCGATGTTCGACCACTTTCGTCACTTATTGTTCGGCGTTAAATGGAACGCAAACTATTACACAACCCATCTCAAAATTCCCCGATTTTTACCTCCAGGTTATCAAGGACGATCCTGCAGTCCTTGACGGGGACGCCCTCGGTGATCCGCACCACGAAGTCCTCGTAGGCCCCGTTCCTCAGCTCCAACCCCGCGCAGAGCCCCCCCAGCACCAACAATCCCAAAATCGCCTTCTCCATAGTAAAAAATTTTTCGATTTTTTTTCAAAAATCACTCATGTCTTTCACCACACTTGCACTAGCGTCTGGTGCTATCGATTGTTTGTACCGTTGTCAGGACAACCGTTGCACGATAACAACAAAATGTTCAGAGGTCGACGTTACGCTCCGGTAGTGGCGATACGCACCGGAAGCCTGCTCGGACGACTGCGCTGTACGAGAGCCGGATTAGAACTGGCGGCTTGAAGAAGAACCGGCACGGCGACGCGACTACTCCCACTCGCTCTCGTGCACCGCTGCACGGTACGGCACCGGCATATGGGTAAGCGAGGTAGCTGGTGCCTCGGGGTGGACGAGGTTTATGGCGGGCTCTGGGTTGCATACGGTGCAGCGGAGCGAGGTGGCACGCGAGGAAGATGCGAGTCGACGAATAAGGAAAGTTGGTCAGGATGCAAACGGCGGGTTCGGGTAGTGCGATGATCCGATGCACTTACGATGCTTGTGGTACAAAAAGTCAAATCGATTAAAAAATGAATGAAGAACTAAAATGGTTATTTACGTTTATGCAACAAGTTGTAAAATAGGAGGATTTTTTACGAGATTGACGGGTTATATAATGAGGCAAATGCCGAGTGGAATAATAAGACGAGGAAAAAAATGCCCATTTCTTTCAATGGAAAAAATATTTGCAAGAGAAATGGATTATCTGTGTAAAAAAGAAACAGCATGTAATTAATACCAATTATATTAACAAATAAAGTTTTTACTTTATTGAAAATTACGTTTCAACTGCCAGTTTATCATCTTCAATGTTAAAATTATTTTTTGATAAAATCAACATCACGCAAAAAACAGATTCAAGAAACTTTTTTTTCATTCACATTTGAGTGTTTATTTCATAAAAAAAAAATTACGAATAAAAAAACATTAAAATTGAATGAAATAAAGTACTACCACTTTATTTTACAAACAATTAACCACATGAGAAACCCTACAAAACATATATATAGAGGATGAGATATTTACAGAATATAGTGTCTAGAAATTATAGACAGAATATATTATATATTATGTCCAGAGAATCTTGACAATTTCTATCGTCTGCTGGAGAGAATTTATACAATCTATGGAGTTTAGAGAGCCTTCAGTGCGTAGAGAATCTAGAAATTTTAGAAAGCCTAGAGAATCTACAGAGTGTAGAAGCCCTGGTCAAGAAGAATTTAGAAAACTTCAAAGGCCTAGGGGCCTAGACATATCCAATCTAGGCAATTTAGAGATTAGCGATTCTAGAGAGAATCAAGAGAATCTATCAAGTTTAAAAAGCCTTCAGAACATGGAGAATTTGGAAAATTTAGACTCTAGAGAACCTAGGCATTTTAGACAATTTATGGATTTGAGAATCTACAGAGAATTTAGAGTTTACGGAGAGCTCTCTAGAGAGCCTTCAGAGTATCGACAATTTCAAGAATCTAGAAACTTTAGCCAAACATAGAGTATTAGAAACTTTACAAAGTCTAGAGAATACCTTAGTTTAGTGTCTATAAATTCTAGATGGTATAAAGTCCAGAGAATCTATTGATTCTAGATCACCTCTTGATCATAGACAATCTAGGGTATATAGAAACCCTACAAAACATGTAGAACCCCGACAATTTGGAAAGCTTTAAAAGCCTAGAGGGCCTAAAATGTCCACAGAATTTCTAGATAATTTAAATCGCCTCGAATTTTTTACAGTACGTAGAGAGTATTGGAAATTTATAAAATCTAGCAAATCTAGACTAGCAATCTCAGAGAGTATGGAGATTCTAGAGAACCTAGGAAATCTAGGTAATTTAGGGATTGGAGAATCTAGAGAAAATTTTGAGTCTATGGAGTTTAGGAGTCTTCAGAGACTAGATAATTTAGAGAATCTAGAAACTTTTGAAATTTTAGAGAATCTAGACACCTATAAACCCTAGATGATAGGGTCCAGAGAATCTATTGATTTTAGAGGAACCCTTGATCATAGATAAATCTAGGGTATCTAGAAATCCTACGAAACATATAGAACTCGGAGAATTTAGAAACCTTCAAAGGCCTAGAGGGCTTGAAATGTCGACAGAGTGTCTAAATAATTTAAATCACCTCGAATCTAAATGTTTTAAAGACCTTATAGTACCGAGAGAGCCTAGAAACTTTATAAAATCTATCAACCTAGAGATCTTAGAGAATATGGAGAATCCAGAAAGAGTTAACAGCACCTATGGAGTTTAGAGAGCCCGCAGAAGCATAGAGAATCTAGAAAATTAAAAAAGCTTAGAGAATCTAGAGGGCCTCCTGATTATAGATGATCTAGGATGACTCTCTACAAAACATACAGAGCCTAGAGAATTTAGAAACCTTCAAGGGCTAGGGAGCTCGAAATATCCACAGAGTATCAAGATAATTTAAATTGCCTTGCGTCTAAATATTTTAGAGAGCTTACAGTACCTAGATAGTCTACAAAATATATAAAATTTAGTAAGTCTAGAGTCTAGAAATCTTAGAGCATACCTAGAAGATCTAGGCAATTTAGGGATTAGAGAATCTAGAGAAAATTTTGTGTCTATGAAGTTTAGGAGTCTTCAGAGACTTGAGAATTTAGAGAATCTAGAAACTTTAGAAATTTTAGAGAATCTAGACACCTATAAATCCTAGATGATAGGGTCCAGAGAATCTATTGATTTTAGAGGAACCCTTGATCATAGATAAATCTAGGGTATCTAGAAATCCTACGAAACATATAGAACCCGGAGAATTTAGAAACCTTCAAAGGCCTAGAGGGCTTGAAATGTCGACAGAGTGTCTAAATAATTTAAATCACCTCGGATTTAAATGTTTTAAAGACCTTATAGTACCGAGAGAGCCTAGAAACTTTATAAAATCTAGCAACCTAGAGATCTTAGAGAATATGGAGAATCCAGAAAGAGTTAAGAGCACCTATGGAGTTTAGAGAGCCCGCAGAAGCATAGAGAATCTAGAAAATTAAAAAAGCTTAGAGAATCTAGAGGGCCTCCTGATTATAGATGATCTAGGATGACTCTCTACAAAACATACAGAGCCTAGAGAATTTAGAAACCTTCAAGGGCTAGGGAGCTCGAAATATCCACAGAGTATCCAGATAATTTAAATTGCCTTGCGTCTAAATATTTTAGAGAGCTTACAGTACCTAGATAGTCTACAAAATATATAAAATTTAGTAAGTCTAGAGTCTAGAAATCTTAGAGCATACCTAGAAGATCTAGGCAATTTAGGGATTAGAGAATCTAGAGAAAATTTTGTGTCTATGAAGTTTAGGAGTCTTCAGAGACTTGAGAATTTAGAGAATCTAGAAACTTTAGAAATTTTAGAGAATCTAGACACCTATAAATCCTAGATGATAGGGTCCAGAGAATCTATTGATTTTAGAGGAACCCTTGATCATAGATAAATCTAGGGTATCTAGAAATCTTACGAAACATATAGAACCCGGAGAATTTAGAAACCTTCAAAGGCCTAGAGGGCTTGAAATGTCGACAGAGTGTCTAAATAATTTAAATCACCTCGGATCTAAATGTTTTAAAGACCTTATAGTACCTAGAGAGCCTAGAAACTTTATAAAATCTAGCAACTCTAGAGATCTTAGAGAATATGGAGAATCGAGAAAGAGTTTAGAGCACCTATGGAGTCTAGAGAGCCCACATAAGCATAGAGAATCTAGAAAATTAAAAAAGTGTAGAGAATCTAGAGGGCCTCCTAATTATAGATGATCTAGGATAACTCCCTACAAAACATACAGAGCCTAGGGAGTTTAGAAACCTTCAAGGGCTAGGGAGCTCGAAATATCCACAGAGTGTCCAGATAATTTAAATTGCCTTGCACCTAAATATTTTAGAGAGCTTACAGTACCTAGATAGTCTACAATAGTCTAGAAATCTTAGAGAATAGGGAGACTCTAGAGAACCTAGGAAATCTGGGCAGTTTAGGGATTAGAGAATTTAGAGTCTATGGAGATTACAGAGCCCTCAGAGTATAGAGAATTTCGAGAATCTTGAAACTTTAAAAAGTCTAGAGAATCTACAGAACCTAGCGGCCCCCCTACGGGTTTTAGTGGGCCTTCAGAGCATAGAGAATCTAGAAACTTTAGAAAACAGAAAATCTACAGAATCTGGAGGGCTTCGTAATTATATATGATCTAGGACATCTCCCTACAAAACATATAGAGCCTAGAAAATTTAGAAAATTTCAAGGGCTAGGGAGCTCGAAATATAGGCAGAGTATCCAGATAATTAAAATCGCGTCGCATCTAAATATTTTAGAGCGCTTATAGTACCTAGATAGTCTACAAAATATATAAAATTTATTAAGTCTAAAGTCTAGATATCTTAGAGCATATGGAGCCTTTAGAAAACCTAGAAAATCTAGGCAATTCAGGGATTACAGAATTTAGAGAAAATTTTGAGTCTATGGAGTTTAGAGAGTCTTCAGACTAGAAAATTTAGACAATCTAGAAACTTTAGAAATTCTAGAGAATATAGACACCTATAAACCCTAGATGATAAGAATCGAGAAATTCTACAGAATATAGACACCTATAAACCTTAGATGAAAAGAATCTAGAGAATCTATTGATTTTAGAGGGACTCTTGATCATAGATAATCTAGGGTATCTAGAAACCTTACAAAATACATAGAACCCGGAGAATTTAGAAACCTGCAAAGGCATTGGGGGCCTGAAATGTCCACAGAGTATGAAGATCATTTAAATTGCCTAGAATTTAAACATTTTTGAAAACTCATAGCATCTAGGGAGTATCGAAAATCTATAAAATCTACCAAGAATAGACTCTAGAAATTTTAGAGAATATGGAGACTTTAAAGAACCTAGACAATCTAGGTAATTTAGGGATTAGCGAATCTAGAGAAAATTTGGAGAGTCTATGAAGTTTAGAAAGCCTAGTGAATTTAGACACCTGCAAACCTAAGATGGTCTGAAATCCAGGGAATCTATTGATTCTTGAGGACCTCTTGATCTAGGGTATCTAGAAATCCTAGAAAACATCTAGAACCAGGAAAATTTAGAAACCTTCAAAGGTTTAGAGAGACTGAAACGTTCACAGAGTTGGTAGATAACTTAAATCTCTTTGAATCTAAATATTTTAGAGAGCTTACAGTACTTAGAGACTCTAGAAAATTTATAAAATCTACCAAGTCTAGAGCCTGGAGATCTTAGAGAATATGGAGAATCTAGAGAGTCCAGAGGAGCATAGAGAATCTAGAAAATTAAAAAAACCTAAAGAAT